GGAGCTAGGGCTTTCATACTTCACATATGTAATCCTTGCGACAAGACCTTCCTTTGGATACCAACCAACACTTTGACCTTTTGACCTTGACCTAGGAGTTTGACCCACTTTTGAAAAACTTTAACCTTGGCCATAACTTTTGAATGGTTGATGCTAGGGCTTTCATACTTCACCTATGTAATCCTTGTGACAAGACCTTCCTTTGGATACCAACCTATTTGACCCTTTGACCTTGACCTAGGAGTTTGACCTACTTTTGAAAAACTTTAACCTTGGCCATAACTTTTGAATGGTTGGTGCTAGGGCTTTCATACTTCACATATGTAATCCTTGTGACAAGACCTTCCTTTGGATACCAACCACTTTGACCTTGACCTTGACGTTTGACTTTTATTCAAAAAACTTTAACCTTCGCCATAACTTCTGAACAGTTGTATCTAGGTCTTTCAAATTTCATAGGTGTATTCCTCGAGACAAGACCTTTCTTTGGGTATCAACATTTCTTATCTTTTGGCCTGGATTTTGACTTGCATTTGAAGAAACTTTAACCTTTGCCATAAGCTGCCATACGGGGGCATCAGTGTTTCACAAACACATCTTGTTAAGGTATGGTAAAAAAAGGTTCATGAAAAATTGTATTGTCAGTATCATCTTTTACACATTTGCTTCCTTTATGTTATTGAATAGCTTATTGATAAATAATTTATTTTTCACATATGTTTTTAAGGTATGGTAAAAATAGGTTCATGAAAAATTGTATTGTCAGTATCATCTTTTACACATTTGCTTCCTGTTTGTTATTGAATAGCTTATTGATAAATAATTTATTTTTCAGATATGTTTTTAAGGTATGGTAAAAAAAAGGTTCATGAAAAATTGTATTGTCAGTATCATCTTTTACACATTTGCCCCCTTTATGTTATTGAATAGCTTATTGATAAATTATTTATTTTTCACACGTTTTTAAGGTCTGATAAAAAAAGCTTCACACAGGACTGGAACTCTCTGCAAAGCCAACGGTTAGGCGTTAAACGCGCTAACCAGTACGACACGAAGTCTTGTGTTTCAGTGTGATTCCATTTTCTTATAGAATGGGTTCAGACTCCTTTTTTTAAAAACATAAAATAGATTTTACGTATACTTTTCAGTCATTTAAACGTTAATGGAGACTTGACCCACTCATATTCAAACATAATTTTTTTATGGCTCAAATAAACCCATTTTCCACGAAATATGCTTAACTGGCAACTTTAAAAACAACTTATCAACCATATAAGTCATTCAATAAAATAAATGAATCAAATGTGTAGAAGATGCCAGTACTGAAAACATAATTTTAGAAAAATATAACTTTTCCGTGAACTTTGAAAATTTAGAAAAATATTATCTCAGAGCGGGGGATTGTCCTCGCCTTGTACGCCCTTTTTTTTCCAAATATTGTGAAAATTGGAAAATATGTGTAAATATTAAAAAAGGCAAAGATACCCATTTTTTCAGAGGTAGACCGCCAAAAATGCTTTCACTTATAATGGTAACATTATTATTATTATTATTATTTGTGGTTTGAACATACAAAATGTATTTTATTGCAATTTCTAATCACAAAGGAATTGGGCACAAGTTCTAAAATCTTTACGACCTCTCCATATAACGCTTTAGAAATTTATTTGTTATTGTATTTTCACGTTCAGGTTCATTATATATAGCAAGAAAACATGTATGTGAACAATCAAAAATGGCGATGTACACATGTATTGTGTGATACATAAAATCAGACAATTTAACCTACCCTTCGAATGTCAGCTGGATTTGCTTGATAAAATAGTTTTACCTGTATATTGTTATATGATTGTGAATTTTGGGACTTCGAAAATCTTGATATTGTTAGTCCCCTACCGGTGAAACCGGAGGGGACTATATGTTTCCTCTGAGTCTGTCCGTCCGTCCGTCTAGCTGTCTGTCTGTCTGTCCCTCTGTCTGTCTGTCAGTCTGTCCCACTTGGTTTTCCACACTTTTTTCCTAAACGCTTGCAGATATTGAGCTTATTTTTGGCATGTGAGTGTATCTTGATGAGTTACAGATCAAGTTTGCATTTCGTTCCGTTTAATTGATTTTTGACGGAATTATGGCCTTTTCAATTTTTCAGGGTTTTCCGCAATTTTCTTCTGAACGCTTTCAGATATTGAGCTGATTTTTGGTATGTGACTTTACCTTGATTAGTTATAGATCAAGTTTGCATTTCGTTCCGCATCATTGATTTTTGACGGAGATATGACGCATTTCGTTCCGCATCATTGATTTTTGACGGAGATATGACATTTTGAATTCTTAAGGAGAACCAGATTACACTTGCCGGTAGGGGACTAGTATTGCTAATGCAATACTCTCAGAATGCTTGTTGAACGAGTATATATATATATATATATATATATATATATATATATATATATATATATATATATATATATATATATATATATATATATATATATATATATATATATATATATATATATATATATATATACATGTATATATATATATATATATATATATATACACCTCAGAATTGTAACATACTGGACAAAACTTGTGTATGGAAAAGAAGTTGTTTAGAATTGTATATTTGTATGAAAGAGGTGATTTGGCAAACCCTTGGATCTTCTTTGTACAAAATATTTTTTGACAACTGTGGTTTATCAAATGTATGGTATGAGCAAACTTTTTTATAATGTAAAATGGATAACTGCAACATTCAAACAAAGGTTAAGTTCAATATATTCAAAAATGGAATAGTGAAGTTCATAAATCTTCGAAATGTGTAAATTATAGAATTTTTAAAACCAATTTTGAATGTGAAAAATATTTATCTCTGTTAATCATACAGGAGAACTCTTGTAAAATTTAGAAAAATAACTCACCATCCCCTAGTAGGAACAGGCAGATGGAATCGTAGTCAAATGAATAAACGACTTTGTAATCCATGTAATAGTAAAAAGTTTGCTAGTCTGTCAGGAAAATGAAAAAAAAGCTTGTCCGGTTGTATGAAGTAGTTATAGATATTTGGAACTAAATAAAGCGTTTTGGTTAAAGTAGGGGGTGTGCATGGGCGAGGATAGATTATTTTGGAAGAAAGTTTACAATGTCAGTCACCTGATTCATCTAATGATCTGTTGTGTTGTGTAACAAGAATAACAAAGACATAGAAGTAGGTGGTGTTGATTTGATTTGAACATATTTTATTGTAATAATACATACAAAAGGATTGGATACAAGTTCTTTCAACTTAATAAATCCTCTCCTTATTATACAAACAATGAATACAATATATGATTGTCATAATAAGTAAATTGAGATAATTTACGAAAATTTATGTTGTACATGTAATATATATAAAAATTATAAAGACACATACTCTGAGTAATCTACCAGAGCTCTAATGTTACATATACACTGATTACAATGTTTATTGAACAAGAAGCTTTCATATTTGATAAAACATTTAAAATTTTCATTCTGCATATACATATTGAAATCAAAGACACTGTTTTGAATTAGAATCTATCTGATTCTCGAATCAATTTCTGGACACTACAGAAAATTTTAATATTTACATCGGTAGACAAAGATTCGTTTCCGCGCAATAAAAAATGAGTATCTATTATATTTTGCTGGTTAAGTTGAAGAATAGTGTTTATTAAGTCATTTCTTGGACGTTCATATGTCTTGCATACAAAGAAAAAATGATAAATGTCTTCAGTTTGGCCGCAAGTACATTTGGGGGAAGAAATTATATTTCTCCGATACAAGTCGCTATTTAAGATACAGTTGTGTCTTAATTTAGTGTGAATTATATTCCAAAAACGTTTTCCATAAGAAAAATAAGAGGGAGGTTTAGAGGATGGTGTACAAATACTTTTCTTAAATTGATTGATGGACTTTAATTCCCTCACTCCCAGATTGAGAGAATTCCAGTTGTTAATTACGTCTGGGACAAAGGATTTTTTAAAGAATTCAAGTCTACATTTCGGAATTGTGTAGTTTTCTGTATTACGAGTATTGTATGATGAAATGTTCCCTCGAGTATTTGGAAAAATCTCTTTTAAGTAATCAGGGACAGTGTTATTATGTATTTTAAACATTGTAGTTAATTTAGCTTTCTTCCTTCTCTCTACAAGAGGTTCCCATCCCGTTTCTGAATAAAGCGATTCACTAGAAACAAAAATGGGGAGACATGTAATGATTCGAGCGGCAGTAGGCTGAACTTTTTCTAATTTTTCAATATCATATTGTGTACATCCATCCCAGACAACGGATGCATATTCAAGGTGAGGCCTAACAAAAGCTATGTACATTTTAGAAAGTGTGTTACGTCCAAGAGTGAATTTGAGTTTTTTCAAAAGACCAAGTTTTTTATATGCAGTATTTACTATGCTATTAATATATATTCAGACCAACTTAAGTCTTGTGAAAAAAGTAGACCAAGATGTTTATGCGTGGATACACACTGTATTTGACATTGTTGAAAATATAGTTTTGGAAGCTCAATTTTTTTTTTAAGTGTAAAGAATATAGCTTTAGTTTTTGAAGGATTAAATTTTAGTAACCATTTTTTAGACCATTCATCTAAAACTTCTAGATCGTGATTAATATTATATTCTATGTTAGCAACATTTGACGAAGAACTTTGTATAGAATTGTCATCTGCAAATAATCTACAAGGTGGTGTGGTGCCAACCCAAGATACAATTTAAAAAAAAAATTTTTTTGTTTGTTTCTTTTTTTTTTTATAGTGTATATACATGTATATATGTCTCTACCCACCTTTCCTATGCTAAACAACTATCCGTTCCAAAAAAGTATCATTTTCATAATATGTTAAGCCGATATCGTTTTTCCCGAAAAGCTTATCAAATAAAATGCTAGCATCGAAAAATCAAAATTACTTTAGGCAAGAACAACAACTTATTTAATTAATGCTTTATTAAGATAAATGGGCGATTTATCCACTGATCACGGCATTATTACAACTACCCAAACACCAGCTAGGACAGGCACTTCCTCTCTTGCACATTACCTCAGAGAGGCGATTTGCAAACTTGTGGCAGTTGTTGCTTAATAGATTGTAACTTCCGAACCTACATCTGTAGTTCCGTGCGCAACCCTTTAGACACTCGACGTCTACCTCACTGTAACCAGCAGGCGAACTCTCCCTTCCGCCTCGACATTTGTATCCAAGAAGACGATTTGGTGAAACGTGGGCATTTGAGTCGCCTTTGAAATGAAGTACATTTACATTGTACATGTATTTGGATTTTCTCACATCGTGATAAATTTTGCTTGTTTATTTTTGTTTGTGTTAAAAAGAAATAGTAGGCTTTGTAGAGTCCCCGACTCTGCTTAAAAATTACAGAGAAAATAAAAGACAACAAAAAAGTTAGTGGAACGTTAAAAAAATTGACTGGTTTTTAAAAAATCGTTCATCTTTAAGGGCATTTATTATTGACATAATTTTTAATCTAATCAATAATTAAACTCGGGATTTTGGATGCAGAATAATTCGACATTAAATGTTCCTAGAGAATATACTCACTCGAAAATTCGAAATATAATCCTTTATAGTAGATAAACCGATGAGTCAATTCCCAGATTCCCCGTGTTGGAATGCCACGTCTACCTTTCTTCATGCACCAAAGATTTGTGGTACCAAAGTAATACGGACTTGCTCCGCCTTAATGAGAACACGGAGGGAAAAACAGTTAACAATTAAATAAAGGAAGTAAAAGAAAAAAACCCAAAGGAGAACAAAAGAATGAAATTAAGAAGAGAATAAAAAAGTGAAATACTGATAAAGAATGAGTAATATTGTTAATCATTTTAAAAAGATTAAAAAAAAAATAAATATTGTTTTATACTTCTTGCAGGACATTTCCTGTCGTTGCCATTTTTCCCGACTAACCACCACGCCTCTGAGTCACAGAGTAGCAAGGCAGTCAAAACAAAAAACTAAATCAAAAACATGAAAACATTTAAAAGATAAATAACAAATTTAAAAACTTCTCTGGGAAATGAAGTAGGTCGGTCACGTGATCAAATCCTGTGAAGGCCGAAGGCACAGAAGATTTGATCACCTACCGACCCACTTCATTTCCCAGAGAAGTTTTTAATGTAGGTTGCGGGGTTGGTGACCTTTTAAAATTGCATGAAAATTACATACATGAATCTCCTACTTTTGTTGTACATTCTCTGAAAATTTTTATAAAATTCGTCTGCATCGATTTTGCGTTATTAAGGAGGCTGGGGGGTCAACAAATTAACCACAAATTAACCACCAGATTTAACTTAATTTTTTAGATATGATATCTTAAGCTGTCAACTATCATTTGGCAAAGAAAAATTTCAAAAATTTTAGTTTTAAAATTTGATCATTTTCTATATCTTCATATGGAGCTCTTCTTCTAAAGGAGATCAATATAGTCTAAAAATGGCCACAACCCCCCAGCCTCTTTAAATCCCAAACACATCATCGTTGTCGTAACATTTTCGACGTTATTCTATGAATTCCATAGGGAAAACGTCATTTTTGACTCGTTTTCAGGAAAGATTTCTTTTCAAAAAATCTCGGTAACTTTTAAATGGTGCAGACGAAATTGTTTCCCTTTTGGTCATTTCACACAGGGATGATTTCAGATAAATCTATGTAAAAAATTAATATATCTTCGAGTTAGTTTTCTCGTAATTTAAATGCGAATAATTGCTTTTACATGTAACATTTTTAAGAATGACGCTATAAACTATCACGACGTCACGCTTGACGTCGTGAATACGATCCGGTATAAAGTGCAGAAAAACAAAAAGGAGAAAGAAATTTTATGTTTATATATATTTAATATAAAATTCATATTTTAAATAAGCACAGATGTATAAGTTATGTAATAATGTATCTTGTCTGAAACACCTTGTTTAAGCTGTAACTAAGAGAGAGAGAGAGAGAAGGCTGAAGGGGGGGGGGGTTGCAGGTGCAGTACTCCTAGCGTGATTCAAAGACTTTTTTCTTACAAGAATGGGGGAGGGAATATTAATTAGAGTAAATAATCTTTTTTCAACAAATACATATCTATTCTCTGTCGAGTTGAAATGTTACATGTTATATGTCCAATTTTCTCCTAAATCGAAGACTAATTTTCGTTTCATTTTGCTTGATATAAATCCTAAATAAGTAATCTTCACGAGCAACAGCTGAAGTGCTAACAAATAGACTTTTTCTTAATTCAATATTGATAAACGAAGTTTGGACCCCCAACACACTTGTATTCTAGATGTAATTTGCTTCCGATGCCTGTGATACGTATATCAAGTGCTTTCAAATGACCCGTATGCGGAATTTTCACATTGGTAATGCTTATACGAGTACACACTCCGCATACAACTGCTCTATGCTGTGGTATCACCACATGTCATGCAGCGTTTTTCCAAACAAATCTCATTCTGTTGGTAAATTAAAAAAAAAAAGATACCAAGAACTACTCGTGTTTTGTATGAAAAGATCACAAACTTTGTCATATTTTGAGCGTCCCATTTTTCATTCTCGATATTGTCAAAGTACTTGCAAAACATGGTGTTATACTATTTTAAAGAATTTAGTCTTTGTTGAGCGTTTTTTAAAAGATACCAAGACACAAAGGAATATAGTATGCAATTTTTAGTGGGGGGGGGGGGGCAACCTAGCAGATACAGACAAGTTTAGGCCCGTATCTATTTATTACTTATATATATACATTTGACACTGACAATCGATTATAATCGAATATAAATATTGCACTAGCTGCTCGTCGTAGATTTTGACAAATTACGCAATGTGTAAATCGAAGGTTGTTCGAGGCAGTTAACTTGAAATCAAGTATAAAATTTGATCAAAAACATTCAATCTACGATTTCAGTAAGGCATATTTATTATGATGTAGACAACGAGACAGCTTACATTGTTAAGACAACGCTCTCGATGATGGACGTGTGCCTACTGAACTTCTGAAGTGTTTATCAGCTGTTTGTGGCGTGATTGCATTGCATTGATATTTTCCAACAGATTTACAAATTTATCGTGAGTAAAGTTTAATGAAGAAAAATTATAGAATAGCATTTAGAGTTTATGATGAGGATTTAACTTAAAGTCTACAAGAAAAATAAGGGTAAACGTTGAAACTGTGCAGCTCAGATATGAAACTTATAACACGTAGTTTTCTATTCTCTCTGTAAAACCGATCAAGACCTGTAATAAATACTTGTTTACATTGTAAATAAAATGATAATTTTTTGTACATTTTATACATGAAAAGCATGGTAAGACCGCGGAACATTAACTGGCAAAATTGGAAATATGAAGCTTACGTCATTTCCATCTGTTACAGTCAAAATGTTTAATTAATGATAGACAATGAAATGGGCGGGTACAATTCGACACAGACGTCTGAGAAAACATCGGATTGAAATTCTAGTTTGAAATTCATTTTCAATCCACCTGAGCTGTTTTCAAACTTGAGGTGTGAATGTATGATCCAAAAGACAAATAATTTCAATTCCCAAATACATGCTGTTTGAAATTAATATTTATTATTTTATTTGAGTTTTTCATCCAATAATTTTAAGGACACGTAAAAGTAATAGAAGGCAGAGATTATTTTTCAGGGTACGGCCATTTGATTCTAGAGGGGGGGGGGGGTAAAAATTGTTGAAGTCAGATCATTCTTTCACATGACAGAAAATATTTATTTTTAGGATGACAAGAGCTTTTTTCAAGTTTTGTCTTCATTGAAAAATGTTTGACAAACAAAAACAGAGAGGGTTGTCCAAACTAAAAGAAACTTTCTTATTTATTTCCGAGATCGTTCAGCCCCCCCCCCCTTCCCCCGCTCCCTGCACACACATACACATACCAAACAGAAAATCAAATATTTGTCCATTTATATTTCTTTAAAAGCACTGGACAGAAAATTCTGATTTATATAAATTTCAAACAATTCCAAAATTGAATTTTTTTGTCTTCTGGGTCAATCAGTAACACTGTGAGTTCTAGAGTAGCTCAGGTGGATTGAAAATGAATTTCAAACTAGAAATTCATTCCAATGTTTTCTCGGACGTCCGTCTCGAATTGTACCCGCCCATTTCATTGTCTATCATTAAATATTTGACTGTAACAGATGGAAATGACGTAAGCTGCATATTTCCAATTTTGCCAGTTAATGTTCCGCGGTCTAATATTGCTAAGTAAAGCAAGTCTTTTTATGTAGATATTATTGCGTAGTGTGATTAGGTCACGTAATGGCATATGACCTTTGAAAAACTTTATACAGGTATGAAGATATTTGCTCTCTGTATGTTTATATAATAGAGAAATACCACAAATATATATATATATATATATATATATATATATATATATATATATATATATATATATATATATATATATATATATATATATTAGGGATGTCAAATCGGTCAATTTTTGATAATCGGTTACTCGGACGTTTTTCCGATCGAGTACCCGGGTACTCGGTTTAAAATATAAATATAAATACAAGTGTGTTAATTTTCTTGAGCCCCGTTAAGCTATGTTAAACTCCAAAGCTGTTTTTATCATGTTTATAAATGTAAATAAACATTGAGTCCAACGGGGATGATTTTTTGGTACTACATTTATTTATCAAATAAACACAAAAGACACAATTAATACATCAAAAATTAGAAAGAAAAAAATTGTTTACAGTTCTTCTTTAGGATCTATTTCATCAACGCAAAAGGAGGACAATCTGTTACGCAGGTTTGTGGTGATTAGACTAGCGAAAGAGAAGGAACGGATGTTGTTGGGATCGCTAATCTAATATTATTTCATATGTTGGTTGTTTCCCCCGTATACACTAAACTTTTTACGCAAACTGACTTTCAATATTTTTTGAATCTTTAATTATTTCTAAATATTTCTCCACTGTTGAAGTGGGTACCAGCATGTCCGATTTCGGTGCCGTATATTAATTTAATAATTTTTAAATGATTTGAAGATAATGGACCATATTTAAACGATGTTCACTGAAAACAATCATTGAAGCCATCCAAAAATTAAGGACCACAAAAGGTGAGAACAGCTGTGTACCAGGTGATAGGTCAGTAATTACTGTATACACAATGCCACGGGCGATAAGGGGTGTGGGTGTTTTACAGGTGTAAATGACGACACGCTAATTACCGTATGCATATTAAAGTTATTTTTGAGATAAGTTTTTAATAAAAATATGTACTTTGAAATAAGAGAAAACACACATCCGAGTAACCGAGTACCATTTTTAGTATTCGATACTTGGACGTTCGATCGAGTACCCGGTTAACCGGGTACTCGTTGACATCCCTAATATATATATATATATACATACATACATACATACATATATATATATATATATATATATATATATATATATATATATATATATATATATATATATATATATATATATATATATATATATATATATAAGCACTAAAAACCAACAACCAACAATATGTTTTTCGAATTAGATACGTCTACTGTAAATTTGATAGACTGATGAAAGGTGTTGGCAAACGAAATGAATGCCTCGAGGCTCTCGCGACATTCCACCCACTTCATCTCTATATCGTCAATGAAACGCAACCAGCTAAGGGGCCTAAATGGTGCTTGAAGTAGCAAGTTGCGTTCCAGTCTGCCCATGAAAATATTGGCATAAGATGGTGCCATTTTCGTACCCATAGCAGTGCCATTAACCTGCAGGTAATGTTCTCCATTAAACATGAAGTTGTTATACTTGAGAACTCCAAATTAAACATGTAACATTGTAAATATTTAGTGTTTGGTAGTTTAGTAGTAGTGCTAGTTGTTTTTGCTTCTCTATTTCCTTTGTTTTTATGACTTCTTAACCTTTTTTCTTTGTCCCGAGGAAGGGACAGGTCGTCCCGAAAATTTGACAATTATTATTGTTCGTGTCGTTGGTCATATTTAGTGCTTTATATATATATATATATATATATATATATATATATATATATATATATATATATATATATATATATATATATATATATATGAACATAAATGTACATAAAAATTAAAATTCGTTGAAAAAAAATAATCCATCAGGTAAAGCATAAAAAAAATAAAATCTAAGTTTACTTACGGTGGCAGATCGACAAAACATTGAGTAATGTTTTTTTCATTCCCAGAAAGGATGTACAAGTGACACAATAGCTGCGATCCACTCAGTTTATATTCCTATACTTTGTCAATGAAATAGCTTGCCTGTGTATATTATACTCTTGCATAATATCTATATGCATGATTGAAGGAATTTTTGAACTCTCAAAGTTTCAAAACAATTGAAACCAGAAAAAAATGAAACAGGAGATTTGAAGAAAACTTAACGGTCAAAGAATTTTTTGTGTAAAAATATCAAGTTTCTATTTCGTTACTCAACATCTGAACCAGTTATATAAGGTTTGGTTTTACGAAAGAAGTGCCTTAGATATTGCATTGTAACAAGTCCAAATGTTGCAGATTCGTGTTTTATTAATTTTTCTTCGCATACATGTAATAATTTACGTGTATGATAAATATCTATGCCCTTTCTGTGCATTAACCATGGTTTACTTAACTAGAGTGTTCCAAGGAACGTATGTGTCGCCTGCTTTGTAGCTTCATTGAAGATGTAAATAAATCTAAAGTGTAGTTAGCTATTTATTTACTACTAGCATGATAGTTCATGCAGAAAAAAAGCATCCACGCATAGTATAAGACTGCGATAGAATCTGTCAATCAAAGAAAATATGATTCCCAACCATAAAATGAATAATCAAATTGAATTGATAATAAATAATTATTTATCATTTTACATGTATTAATACAATCTCCTATGTAGAGTTGTCGTTTGTTCCTCTCTCAGACACCTCTGCAATGGGCTCGCGTCAAAATTTTTGACATAAAGTAAAAAACATGATATTCCAGGGATTATTTCAAATTAAACAATTAGTTCTAGATCTATTTAGAAAAAAATCTACATTAAAAGACAAATATTAGCGCAGGTATTATTTATAATGAATCAAATCAACCGCACTATTTTCCGTGCTTATAACTGTGATATACGCGAGCAAACGACAGAGGTGAATGTATGAGCCGATGGTAGAGAGTGGTATTAATACACCAATATTGTCAGTCTACATGATCCATTGTGGGATGCCGATCCCGATGTATTTTCATAGTATTTAAAAATCCGTTTGTGTGGTAACTGAATATCATACAGTTTCAAAGTACAGTATCATGAGCTCATAAACATGTATAAATGCTAATTATAAACCCTGCATCTCAAAATTTAAAAGACTTATAATAAATTAAACTGTCCGAGGTATTTTTTGCAAAGTAGGTCAAAGGTCAAGTGAATTGTTCATTATGTTTTATGACAATCAGTGCACATGCTAAATAGCATAGACTTACCTCTTTAAAGTCAGAAGTATGCTGTATATTGGGACTATTCACTTCTTTGTAAAGTAGGTCAAAGATCAAGTTCAAGGGTGGCGAGCTCGAGGTCGGTATCCATGGTAATTCACAAAAGCTATAGTGCCAAGTAATATATGTGCAAAATACCAAGTCCATATCTCTTACAGTTCATGAGATACAAGGACAGACAGACAGACGCCGGGTAAAGTGATCCCTTAGTGCCGCTTTGCTCTGCAGGCGACACAAAAATTGGCTTAAGGTCATTTGATATATCATTGCCTAATGTTGGATGTATCTCAATTTCTTTGGTGTTTTACTTTGCATTTTACTTGGGATTTGGTTCATTTGTATCCCTCCAGAGGGATGCTGTTCTTGTTCTTTATCCAGAGCTTGATCAGTTCAGTTCACTGTTGTGTATCTTTGAAATATAGACGAAAAACTTTTTGATGAGAATGACATTTCTTTTTTTGGTAAGAATTAAATACTTATATTTATCTGTTCTCTTATACATGTAAATCAATTAGATGTTAACTCTGTAATATTGCATATATATTGTATTTTGCAAGCATTTTCCCCGAGTAAATAAAAGAATCTTCTTGCTATAATATTTGATAGAAAACTGTCGAATTGATTTTTTTAAAGATGCATTGAAACATTTAATCAGTCTTCAATTCACTTCCTGTGTGGTACCAATTGTAGTACATGAAATGCTGATTTGTACAATAGCGATAAAAGGAAATAAGGATTAATGTTTTGCATATACATCTTTGGCGATTATATATTTCATTCTGAGGTCAGTTTACGATGTACTTTTGTCACCTACTGACTTGCTGAGTTAGGGTCTAACTGAATCACCAGACTGCAAACTGTGTGGAGAAAGAGGATCATTTGCCCACATTCTGCCTGAATGCAAGGCTACACTGCAACAGGGATGATATAGGTTAGGGCATGACAAGGTGCTTGAGTCCTGGCAGAGACATTAGGAAAGAACATCTGGCGAGAGATTCCCATTATTCGTAATAATAGTAAGGAATATCAGGCTGTTAGATGGATCAGATTGGCAGATTCAGGTTGATCTCGAGTGAAACTCGTACAGTTGCCGAATTATATAGACTGCAAGACAATAAGATCATCATCATTGAGCTTACAGTGCTGTTGGAAGAAGTTTGAGACGTAGCTGATGAGAGAAACAGTACCAAATGCTGGGAACTTAAGGAACAATGTGACCAGAGAGGATAGAAGAAATGGCTGTTCCCCGTAGCAGGATGTCGTGGATTCTCAGCGCAGTCTTATGAAAATGACTAAAGCCTTTGGAATTAATTCAGAAACAGAAAGAGCTGTCAAAAGGTTAGTTGGGAGGCTGAGAAGGCTTCATGCTGAATTTAGCACCAAAAAGACACCAAGGAGTGTAAGCCGCATAACATGCAGTGAACCTACCACTGTGGAACCACCAACTGTAGGATGTCATGGTTTTAAAGGGTCAAAACATCCAGTGAAAGTTGGAAACCATCTGATGATGTCAGTAGCGGACGTCCACCCAGCAGTAGCGGACAGCAGTTTAGGGGCCTCCTGCCAGAAGTCAGAAGTAGAGAGCCTGACCAACATTAAGCAGAATTCCATCATCTGTAAGTTATCAATTAACTTGGTTACATGTTATAAATGCAATATTTACTTATTTTATTAATAAATATTCTTTCTTTTATGTTTTAAAAATTTACTGAAATGTTTTCATGTTTTAAATTAATGAAACGATATATTCTTTTAAAACATTGTTATGATATATAATATATACATTTGTGGTATCTCTCTATTATATAAACATGCAGAGAGTTAATATCTTCATACCTGTATGAAGTTTTTCGAAGGTCATAGGTCATTACGTGACCTAATCACACAGCGCAGTAATATCTACATAAAAAGACTTACTCCACTAAGCAATATAGCATGTTTTTCATGCATAAAAATGTACAAAATACGCAAGTAAAATAATAATCATTTTATTTACAATGTAAACGAGTATTTAATACAGTTCTTGATCGATTTTACATAGAGAATAGAAAACTACGTGTTATAAGTTTCATGTCTGAGCTGCATAGTCTCTACGTTTACCCTTATTTTTCTCGCAGACCTCTGAATGCTATAATTTTTTTTTTCATTAAACTTTACTCACAATAAATTTGAAAATCTGTTGAAAAATATCAATGTAGTGCAATCACGCCACAAACAGCTGACAAACACTGCACTTTGGAAGTTCGGTAGGCACACCTCCATCATCGAGATCGTTGTGACGTTGTCTGAACAATGTAAGCTGTCGCCAGTGTCTCCATGTCAACATCATAAATTAATAAATATGCCTTACTGAAATCGTAGATTTTATGTTTTTGATCAAATTTTGTACTTGATTTCAAGTTATCTGGTCCGGACAAGTGTCTCCATCCATCCCTTTCCGACCGCAATTCCTCCAACTTTTTATTATCAAACATCGGACGTGTTTCTTGTGTTTTTAAACATCGAATATGGGTTCTCATGAATACAAAAATTCCAAGACACCAATACGCTCACTATAATTGATCACAAGTAGCCTTTCACAGAATATTCCCTTCAAAGCAGAATCCTTTGCCAGATGAATTTGAAGCGTAACCGCTTTTCAAGCCGATTTACACCTAGCGTAATTAGTCAAAATCTACGACGTGCAGTTAGTGCAATATTTATATTCGATTACATTCGATTGTCCGTCTCAAATGTATATATAAGTAATAAATAACAAGTTTAAAAACTTCAATGGGAATTGAAGTGGGTCGGTACGTGATCAAATCTTCTGAGAAGGCCTTCGGCCTTCACAGGATTTGATCACGTGACCGACCCACTTCAATTCCCATTGAAGTTTTTAAACTTGTTATTTATTTCTTAAATGAAAACCAACTTTTTATTTGCATACGATGTATGAGTTGTTACTGAATGCTACACTAATTAATTCCTGATCCTGATCCTCCTGTTTCTCTTGCTTTTGGGCAACAAAGTTTCATCTATCAGTTTATTTTATACTCCATGGATCCTTTAAATTGTTGTATTATATTCAGGTGACTGTTAAGGCCCTTGGGCCTCTTGTTTAAAAATAAGATTTAAGATATTTCCATCCTCCTGTGATGTCATAGGTTTTTGCAAAAAACTTTAATTACTTTAAATGTTCACTCCTCCGTGGCACCTGATCCCACCTCTAATGTCTTAGAGGTCCGTGTTTGCTCTACGTTTTTTGTAATTTGTAACGTTTAATGGACTTATGAGCTCGAATACTGTTCGTTAACTCCACATATTTCATTCAAACCCAATAGAAATATATGTTTTGGAAGAATGCTTGCTACTTGGTGTAACTTACAATATTGGTAAAAGAATTGAAAAAATGTATGTTTTCTTTATTTCTTTATTTAATCAATTATTCAATCTATAAAAATATAGCTGAGGGCAATAACTCTTTCTTGTGTAACTTTATTCAGGCATCCTCTTTATTGTACTTATAATATAAAATGATTTCCCTGATATTCACAATCAAACATATTCATAAAATAGAAATTGTTTTGGAGCTTTCAGCATCCGTATTATGTATTTTAACAGTTTTTACATAATATTTACAATACTGTTTACTAAAAATGCATGAAAATATCTCTTTTTCCGCTTCTCAAAATTACTATAGAACAATGTACTTAGTTAAATTTTTTAAACAATCAAAGACTAAAAGAAAATTTCAAATGTAAGTAAAATTAAAAATAATGGATTGAAGTTTTAAAATATATCAAATTAATATGATTTTCCAAACAAACTACAGAATTATTAAATTTTAAAAGCTTCCGATCTAAGTACAGATTTGAACCAAAAATCCATAAAAATGTGTTTTTTTTTCTCTCTTAGTAAACGGTCAAAATTTATTCTTTTTGTATCAGTTTGTATCTTTATATGACAACTTTACCATATGTGACAATAAAAAAAATTAAATATACGAAGCATATAAAAATAACTAATATATCCTAAAAATCTAAGAAAAATAGAGGAAATTCGGATTAGTCAATAATCTATTTTAGTTAAATTATTTATGTCAATTTGGTAGTATCATCTACTAGACCCTATATGGTAATATCTTTTTATGCAAAAAGAAAAACATTTAATTTTTTTAAATAGAAGTAGGAATTGCATGATTGGCAACAGGACTTTTTTATTCCTAAGGTCAAGGAAAAAGATAATGACCTTGACCTGACCTTGCTTTTAAAATAAAACAGTCAAATTTGATCTAATTAATAATACCACCTAATAATAATGTCTTCTTGAATCTACGAAAATTTCATTAATTTATAAATACAAGAAATATGAGAAGAATCCCTCCTTAAAGTATATTCAGAAACAAATAAATGCAGTTTTTTCTACTATGAATCATTAAATTTGTGGGGGTAGAAATACCTTAAACTTTAAGACTGTCTTTAATTCACCAATTCCTTTGTTCTCATGTTCTTTGCAGTTGCACAACAGTATTAAATTTTGCTATATATTCTTACCAAAAATGCGCAACTTTGAGTAGGTGGTATTTATTGAAAACAAACTTTTGAGAAGTTTCCTTTCAGATCTTGTAAAACAATTCTTTATAAAGATTTTAGTACCAAAAAATACATAGCCATCCAGCAAGGCACGCAAGTTTGTCTCGCTCGAAGTCGAGCAGGTGCTTGAAAATCAAGTCCAGGACCTAATCACTCCCCACTCAAATACAGTATATAGAAAATTCAGCACGCCCTAAATTTTAATGAATCTAGTCAATATAGGAAGTTTACATATTGTTTTTCATCTCATAAAAAAATTCAGCTCCAGTCTCGTGTTAAAATGCCCGAATCGGAAGGGAAGATTCAGGAATTATTTTACGTCAGCCATGATTTGACGTGAACCTCAAGTGAAATACTGTTACGACACCTGCAATAAGAGTGAAAATTTTTGCTTGCCAGTATAATGCTATTTTCCCGATCTGTAATGAATATTCAATGTAATAAAGCAAGTTTCATAAAAATCCGTCTCAAGGTAGGAAAAAATATTGGCGACACTCGGTGACAGGGGTGTTCGCGGTGAACACGGATTTCTAAAAATATGGCAAAAGTTGAACTGTATGTAATGATCTTGCGCGTTGAACTTTTGTTGTTTTTCGTCTCAGATTTTTAATTAATGCATACTGATTCACATAAGGATTAAAAATTATTTAAAATATGTTTGCTTTTTATAACAGGGCGAAAGAAGTAGTCTTTGTCATAAGGAAGGGGGATGGGGTTAAAAAGAACATTGAAATAATACATATTATTGAAATATCAAGGCGTTTTCTGCTTAATTACGATTGTTTTGCCTAAATAATTCTTTTTACGAACTAGATTTCTTTATCTGTTACCACTGTGTTCCAAATTAACGGATATTTACACATATTCAGAATTTTTATTTTGCTCCGGGTTTAGTCTAAATTCTTTAAATTGATAAATTTTGAAATTGTTTATGAGTAAATAATGTTAACGAGTGTGATGGCAAGGTATTTGTTAAAGTGTCCTCTAATTTTCATGCATTTCTCTCAACCCGATACATCGAAATCAGGCCCTTGTGTGGTCAAGATAAATTATTTTAGAGGAAATCTGGACTAATTTTCTATGCTCCATTAAACGCGAACGAACAGCAATGACGGTCAAAAAATGCCATTATTTCTCATTTTCCGTCTAAACTCACGAAATTAAACCTTAAATTATAGACTACAATATTTCGAAGTATAAAATCTGCTTTTACTGCAGGTTGCACAACAGTATTAAATTTTGCTATATATTCTTACCAAAAATGCGCAACTTTGAGTAGGTGGTATTTATTGAAAACAAACTTTTGAGAAGTTTC